CGCAATGAGGATGATCTGTTGACTAACCTTGCTAGAGGACAGATACTGTTACTGGGACTAAGATGTGATATCCCACATCTTCACATACTCTATAGTCCACATACAACATGGAGTGACTAGTTACTTTCCTTGCTAGAGGACAGATACTGTTACTGGGACTAAGATGTGATATCCCACATCTTCACATACTCTATAGTCCACATACAACATGGAGTGACTAGTTACCTTCCTACCTAAAAGATTCTGTATTTAACCAAACGTTATCAACTTAGTGTAGCACTGGTTCGAAAATTAAATCCTTTTACATTTAGGGATTAAACTCTGACCACTGTCGAGGTAATCAGGTGCACTACCTATTACATCATCATGGCTTTTGAACTCCCTAAAAACACCAGTATAAAAATAAAAATAAAAAGAGAACAACGGTACACCACTAAACAGCATCAACATAAGACCAGAGTCCGATCGTAACAGATGTTTTAATGTATTTGCTGAAATAATTCCATACAAAAAAATCCTGATAAGAAAAGATGCCAGATTATAATAATAATGAACAGAGGTCTACGCTGTGTGTATTTACTTAACATGACAAGTTAATGTTATGGCAGGGCAGACCTGACCCTTATCTGCCTTGGCTGTCTGCTGGTCTAGGAGGGAAGCTCCCACCCACAGATGGACATAGCACTGCTTTTCTGATCCAGTAGTTTCTGCACCTTGCTTCGTTTCAAATGTACTGGTGTTACCTTTCCTCTGGAGTAAACAAAGTGGCTCGAGCGAGGGATCACAAGGTCCCTAGTATACCACCCAGGCTTTGTGCTATTGAGGGGAGGTAACATGAGATAGCATTATTTGTCCTGGCATCCCATGCTTTAACTATGTATGGAAGACCTGTCTTAATGCGAGCAGACGTTGCTAGTGATACTCACCACTGCCATGCAAGTGGTTCTTATGCTTCCATAGAGCATGGAATAACACTGACTTCTAGAAAGACAGAATACTAACAAATATAGTAATTAATTGTTAACTTGGGCACTTCAAATCACAGAACAGTCTTCAGCCTGATAACACAGTTATGTCACCTTAGTATTTAGTTTACCCGTGTTACTGCTTCCAACTAGAAAAATGCAATTCATTGTGACAACATAGGCAGTTTCTGTCAGAATATTGTGACAACATAGGCAGTTTCTGTCAGAATATTGTGAAATAATCACAGCCCTAAAACTGATATATTTCTCTGAGACAATTTGTTGGAAACAGAAGACATCATTGCACATGTATGCTTTAAGACAGGTGTGGCTTTGCGGTCAGATGTCTACCTAATTCATGTTGTACACCGAAAACTATAAAACTGTATGAGTGTGTGAAATTGAGGGTGGCTAGGAAAGGCGAGGAAACAGCAACCATGTTTGTAATAATGGACTGCAATTATGTTATGTAGCTAAACTGAATACTTAAACGAAAAACATATATCTTTTAATATGTACAATGCAAGTGCAAAGCAGAAGACAACAGAATCACATAGACAACATGAGACTTATTGGTATGAGACACAGTTATTCTGTTCCTGGTTAAGCTGCTGAAGTTGGCGAAAAAATAATCAACAAATTACCATGTGTAATATAAAAACAAATGACAGGAAAACAACAAGAAACTATACACAGCAAGAAGTTCCCTGCGATAATGTACATGTCATGGTATTGAGAATAGAAACACTGCTACTTGTGAGCATAATTTTTGGTGCACACAGTCTAGAACTTGAAACTTTAACATATTTTCCAATATGAATTATGTCTGAGTACAAACACTGATCATATAAAGACACAAATAATGTTGAATGAGCATGTTCAATATTGAACAGTTTTGGTTTTAAAACAATCTACTCTGATATCCTCATGATGAATGCACATGTTAAATGTTAAACAGTTTTGGTTTCAAAACAATCTACTCTGATATCCTCATGATGAATGCACATGTTAAATGTTAAAGAGTTTTGGTTTCAAAACAATCTACTGTGATATCCTCATGATGAATGCACATGTTAAATGTTAAACAGTTTTGGTTTCAAAACAATCTACTGTGATATCCTCATGATGAATGCACATGTTAAATGTTAAACAGTTTTGGTTTCAAAACAATCTACTCTGATATCCTCATGGTGAATACACATGTTAAATGTTAAACAGTTTTGGTTTCAAAACAATCTACTCTGATATCCTCATGATGAATGCACATGTTAAATGTTAAACAGTTTTGGTTTCAAAACAATCTACTGTGATATCCTCATGATGAATGCACATGTTAAATGTTAAACAGTTTTGGTTTCAAAACAATCTACTGTGATATCCTCATGATGAATGCACATGTTAAATGTTAAACAGTTTTGGTTTCAAAACAATCTACTGTGATATCCTCATGATGAATGCACATGTTAAATGTTAAACAGTTTTGGTTTCAAAACAATCTACTCTGATATCCTTATGATGAATGCACATGTTAAACAGTTTTGGTTTCAAAACAATCTACTGTGATATCCTCATGATGAATGCACATGTTAAACAGTTTTGGTTTCAAAACAATCTACTATGCACATGTTAAATGTTAAACAGTTTTGGTTTCAAAACAATCTACTGTGATATCCTCATGATGAATGCACATGTTCAATGTTAAACAGTTCTGGTTTCAAAACAATCTACTGTGATGTCCTCAATCTTGATTAGATGAAACAAACTTCATGACATTGTTGTTGTCATCTGAGCAGCACATACACCCTTAACAAGCATTAAAATGATTGCATAAGTGCCAGAATATGGGTAGTTTTCATTGTCGTTTATCAATAATACAAAGAAATAATAACTGAAAACAAATTTAGTTTCAATTTAAAATATTTTTGATGATATGGGGAAAAAACTTCATTACATGTGTCATTCAAATAATGTTTGAACCTAGTGGGGTAAAATAAAACAAAAAACTGTTACATGTCTCATTAAAACAGTGTAGAACCTAGCTTAAACAATTTATAATGCCATTACTCAACAGATAAAAGAAAATAAAACAAAGACAACACAATTAGTAAACACACACAATGTTCTATATGTCATGCTCTAGTCTAAGATTCATTTACCAAACTGATAATAAACAGTAAATGAGGAAAGCTCAAAAGACTATGATTCCCAAAAATGGTTCACTATGCTGTCACAAGAATGACAAAATCAAATCTTATCTGTATTTGCTGTACAGATAAAATGACTATCTGACAGGCCAATGTCTAAGAAACACAGCAAAAGAAGAAAATTTGCCCAAATCATCATGTGCTATGTGTGTAATAATGATGCACTGTTGTGCTGAACAGTAAACATGTGTAGGTAATACTACAGCAGAGAGGTATGAACATTTCCATATATGCTAGAGTAAGCTGAATGAGGGAGAAAATGATGGACACCAGGACACCCAAGCTGGAAAGACTATTTTCCCTAGAAAAAAATCTAGAACATATTTAAAGGAGCTGGGTGCAATCCTATGTTGTATGCTATTCACATAGAAGAGGCATTAACCCTTTCACTCAGGGAAGCTGCAAACCCAACACTTTCACTAGGTTCCAATTTCCTGTCAGTGCTGCTTACCAAGCACTTCTACAGCGGTGTACTTACAAAACATCATGTTTATGCCATTGGTTATTTTCCCACCTGTGCAAATGTTTGCAGGTCAGAGCCTGAATATGTTTATTAAAAATAGCATAAAAGAGGTTTCACCTTTTCTAATGCCAAATTTTCCCATAAGCCTCAATGATAAAGGTCACAGGATCGCAGCAAAAGTCACCCAAAAACATGTTGTGTTTTCAACCCCGGGGAATGTATTCCATTTAGTTAAGTTCTTCGTTCTGGTAATGTTTACTGATTACCTCCTTTATATATATATCTTCGTGAATGTGGGGAGATTAAAAAATAAAAATAGAAAAAAAATTTCAACTTTATTTGTGACCTATGTAATTCCACAGGTTGATGATCCATTTTTTTAGTGTTCAAAAAGCAAAACTGTTAATACAAGCCAAGGTAGAGCAAATATTAGAGTATGAAATTGGATACTGAATTTAAGAAGGAAGAGGACACATGCTTATTTAAATCAGTTTTCTAGTTATAGTACACAAGTATAATGGGTCGGAAATGTTCAAGGAAGAGATCCAAAACTCAAGTTTCTACCAATAACAGTGTACCATCTCTACTAATGAATGCTGGCTGTACTGTACCCACTGCTGTCTCTCCCTGGTAATAGTACAGGGTGAGGTCAAAATCTCTTCCCCAACTGTCACACCACTATCTGAAAACTTTTGTCTGCCAATGGAAATCTAAACATGGTATTCAAAAATCATGAAATTGTTAAATATGTTCACTAACCTCCAAGCTGCACTTCCTAAAAATATACATAAGTCTGAATTAATTAATGCAGAAAAATAATACCGAAAATCTGAACTGCAACCAAAAGTAACGCAAACATCTTGTAACTAGAAAAGGCACATTATACAATCCTTTCAACCATCACCGTAAACCTCACCCTTACAGCAGTTAACTCTTACTATATATATAAAAAACAAGCCCTACCTTGTCACAGAATCAAGAGTTAATGTGACACACACCACTAATTATAAATAACATCTCAAACAAGTCAACATATTACTGTTATTTAGCAATATTATAAATAAATAACATGAATCTGTAAGAGGATAGAAACTTCACAACTCACATGTACATTTTTCATTTTTTTTTTTATTGACGTGAACAAAATCATACTCAGGAATTAAGCTGGCAGAAAAAAGCATCAAAATCCAAACATTAGAAACACAGGTCAAAGCAGTTATAATGCCTTGATTATTCTCTTCTTTGATTGGAGGAATTCAACACTTAAGCTGTGTTTCACCTACAGATGAACTTGATGTCTAGGTGGAGAGTTTTGTCAGAATCACGCACGTTTGCCTAACCAAACACGGCTCCAAAGGGATATCTTTACTAAGGGAAGCTCAGACCTTCATCTTCAGAAGAGACATCCTCTTCTGTGGTCTCTGCATCACTAAGGCCAAGGTCAGCATATCTGCCCAAAGCAGCTGAAACAAATTTAAAAAAATTACAAGAAATTTACAAAGCATATCTGTCGCTCCCCCCCCCCCCCCCCCCCCCCCCCACTTTTTGTGATAAATGCTTAGTAATCATTGGCACCCTTCTGTTTTTCCGTACAATGTTAGATGGTGTGGAAGAGACATAGGAATCACAGCCAAGGAAGTTCTCTCCATTGCAAAAAGACCGGGAAGTACTGAAGAGACAATGTACTGCTCAGATACCATGATCCCTCTCTCGACTTTGTTAACTCCAAAGAAAATGTAACACCTATATGCTTGGAAGAAAGCCTGCTGCCAGATCAGAAGAACAGTACTTTGTCCACCCTGTCCACCTGTCCGAGCTTTCCTTCTACACTAGCTGCCAACTACTGCTAAAACCCTGGTCTGCCTTCCCTGCCATAATATAAAGTTTTCAGATTGCCTTTTCCCTTCCTAAGATACATTAGGATATATTTACCACACACATCAAAGACCTACCATGTTATTCAGTGATTCTTTACAGTTCATTTTCAGGTGGTTATTTTTCAGAAATCTTCAACATAATAATTATGAATAAAACCAGTTTGTGTTTATTTATCAAAGTGCAGTAAAAGGGCTTAGAACAGTCTTAGTCACAGTGAATATTGTTCTTTTTTTTCATTGGCTATAAACTACAGTAAAACTTTTGGTTGTTTGTCCACTTTTGGGCTGTGGTCTTGTTCCAGAACTTGAATTTTGCATGCACATTTCTTATACAGATGTGACTTTTTTGTATACACTGCTGGTTCCCCGCCCTTCAGGCAGATGGACACAGACTTCAACCCGTAATGAGTTGACTTTTACAATATGCTTGTTAGGGAGGCAGTGGGTGTATTATTTTTGTCCCAACAAAATAAGGTCCCGGAACCCACATAAGAAACATTAAATCAAATAAAGTAAAGAACAGATATGCTGAAGATGGGTGATTTTTTTCCCCCATTCAAACATATTCTTCAACTGTTATTTTGTCTGACCTGTAAATTATGTCTTTTCTCCTCCATCTAATAAACACACACACACACACATATATATATACACACACATATATTAGTTTATATATGTATATATATATACACTAGTACCATGTCAAAGATGTCTTTCAGAAAAACTAAATCCTATCAAATGAAGGCTTGGTGACATGTTCTCTTATTCAATTTTCTGTCCCAACAGACTAGTCCAATTTCTCAACCCTTTTGTTTCCTTGAAATGATTTGGTCCTTTCTTTATGGAGCTGAGTCGACCCCAGAGGTCAGGAAACACTCTGCAACTTAAGGCGCTTGAACCCAGACCACTGTCTCGACAGCCAACCAACTATATAAAACCAGGTCAGGTGAAAGCTTACCTTCTTGAGGTTTCCAGAACTTGCATATCCTTGCAGCTTCCCTGTTACCAGTCAGCAGAGCTCCATGTGTTGTTGAGTAGAATGATGGATGTGTGGCTTCACCAGCAAACAATACCACCGGCTGCGGGAAAATATATGCTGTCTTATAAACATTATTATGATGCAATTGCCCATAAATTAAACAGAGTAAATGATCTGTGTTTATACTTCAAGGCATACTGAATATATGATATTCCCACATGTTTATACATTAGTTGGCATCTTGATATCGGACAAGTAAATACTGTACCGACCACCCTTACTTCCATGATATATAGGTAAGTTGGAGTGACCTGAGAGCCCAGGTCACTTTTACAATCTGCTTCTCTGGGGATTTCAACACATGCCACTAGGGAAGCATGCCTTCCCTTCCCCCACCTAATTAATTATAAGTCAGCAAAATAATCACTCACTTTAAACAATGTAGTGACCATCAAGCATTTGTTCAGCTTTTAACTTTGTGGCAGAGTAAGGGACCCCTCTACAAATGGGCATATGGTGGCAGATTTATATCGGTATGACCGTCTGGCAACTGGTGATTGATACAGTCAACATCATGCTGGCTGCCCTTACGTCTAGGAATTTATCTGCAACCCACTTCAGTCTGGATTGATATGAGAGCCAAGATCAAGGTTTTGTTAATGCAGATTGAAATCCCAAGATCTTCAGGCCGACAGGCAAGCGTCTATCTACTACGCGATCACAACTCAAAAACTGACTGAAACCACCTTAAATTTGTTTAGTTCTAAGCCATTTTACATGACACTAAACTAAAACACACAAGTAAAGATGCTGTAAGAGACATCTAATAAATTTGAAAATCATGTTTCCTTTGCTAATGTTCAGGACACTTATCCTGACCAATATCATCACCATCATCATGTGCAGTGCCTTTAAGCATAGGCTATTATTTTTTGCCATCTCACATGATCACCAGGATCTGGGATCAGTTCAATATTTTGTCATTCCTCTGAAAAATGTACATTTTGAATTTAAACCACTTCATTAACTTTGTGGAGCTAAGCTTAACAAGAATGACTTAGTCCTGGCAGCAATTACAGAAACAGTTTGACTACATTGACTTCAACAGAATTTTTAACTTCAATTCATGTACTTCACATGCAGCAGGAGCCGCAGCAGTAGAAGTGTAGTGGCTACATTCATGCCTCCTGGTCCTAAAAACTTGCACTTGAACCTACATCTGGTAAGATTTTTCTCAAAACTGATCTTAGTTTCCTTGGCCTACAATGGGTACCAGGTTAGGTCCTGGGGAGGTAAAGGTGGCTGGCTGGCATAACGTTGACCACAGCACCCACCAAGTGCCCACTGGTCTATAGAATATAAGTCTAGCATCATATGCTCAATGCCCCAGTGGCCTAAAAATGGTTGGTCATTTACTCTTTTTGTGTTTGTTTACATGCAACAATGTTCTTCTTATAGAATACATCAATTTGGAACAATGGAAGAAATTTAGTGGGTTCAAATTATGCTTTAAGCACAACAGAATGGGTTCAATTCTCTTTCTCTCTGCCGGTCTCTCTATGTTCACACAATAATTCACATAATCTTTCCCTGCTACACACAACAAGCACATACAAAGCTGACATTCAAAGCTCTGTTCTAGTTTGTTTAGAGCTGACATCACAGAACTGAGGGCATTCCCATCTGCCCCCAGGTCTCATCTTCAGCAACCAGTGAAGAGTCTCAATCAAAACATGAAAAGTGAGAAGCTATTCTCCATGTTCAGAGCCATTTCTGACTAAACCTCTTATGCTTTGTCTCTTCCTACTTTTTAAAAAACCCTGAGAATTTTGTGTTCTTTTTTTGTATGATAGTGAAAAAGTATAGTAAAATATAAAATTTGGTTATTTTGTTAGTTTTATTCCTAATAAGCAGCTACCATGAGCTTCCGGGTCTTAGTGTTAAGGAGCTACGACCCTTGATGGCCAAGATAAAAAATTTGACATTTAAGAAGTTACTTGTGACATTTAAGAAGTTACTCCTCTGAAATTACCTTAAAAAAAAAAACTATTCTGTTGAGACCATGAATCACTTTGAGGCGGACAAGAGACACTGTTTGAACTTATAGAAAAATGTTTTATTATCATATTCCCTCCAGCAGACAGCTGTTTTCACAAGACACCCTGCAAAAACAACCAAGAGACAGAAAGCCCTCTTGTCATGACACTAATTTCTAATGTTTGTTATCTGGGGTTTCAGATTTCACACCCACACAATGACACCTAATATTAACATAACTACACCCACACTTCCCTTCACAAAACAACTATCACTTAAGAGGAAAAGATCAGTTACCTTCTTGGTATTGTCCTGAAGATTTTTAATGAGGGGATGCTTCAGATTCAAGATGTCTTCCTGTGAGGCACCGACAGCAACGAAACTGTACGAGCCCCTGGTAAACTTGTTATGTCCCCAGGAAGTTCTACAATAAACAAAAGAAAGTAAATATCTTTATCTGAAACCAAATAAACACATTAGAACAATACCTGAATAAACAGGTAAGCAACACTTGTCACCCCACAGGTGCAGTAACAGTAAAAGTCCCTTATCGCGCCAGTGGCACATCAGGGGTATGGCTGGATCCATATTTCCAAAGACCAATTGAGATTTGATGGATGATGTTGTCGACACCATTCTCACCATCTTTACTCCCCAGGGCATTTCCTGGTACCCATTTTTGGTTGGGTCAAACCGGTAGCTCTGGGTCAATTTTAGAAAAGTGTCACATGTGGAAAGAAATAAGTCTCATCTTCAAATGGTTGTCTGGACTTTTGGACAGTACACAATGGTACACAGTATCAGCACCTTTTTAGGAATTTTTGTTCTTTTCACTGCTATTGTAACAAACACTGAGTGGTGGGTTTTTTTTTTTTTGAAGACACTGTGGTAAGTACCCGTAGCCTTGTCTTAGAAATCCTGGCTAGGGTCACAGTTACAAAAAATATTATACAATCACTGAATGTCTCCTTGGCTGGGGAGGAGAGTTCAGATTACCCAGGTCCATAAACAAACTAATCACTCCCCCTATCAAACCAAAGTATTCTATTAATACTGCAAACATCCATTTGTCGAATGGAACACAGACAAACTACAACTCATAAAACATAATGTTTGCATACACAAGTCAGCCCTACCAAAGTTCTCAGCAGCTGAAGCCAAACTAAACCACCCTGCTGACAAATGAATTCACCTCATCACCCATCCCACATGTTTAGATGAAGGACAGATAAGCTGCCCTGCTAACAGTGCTGACATTATTCAGTGAGTGCATCACTCAGCATCAACTGCAATAAACACACCAAGAGGAGGGGAGCCTTGGAGTTAATAGTGTGACCCCATTTAACAGGAAATCAAAATATACAAAAACAGATGTGCTACAGGATGAGAAATGGCACAGGGGCACAATGTCTGCAAATCTAGTTCAATTCACACAGTGTGGACGATACTGATTTGTACATTATAAAAGAAAAACAGTCCTGGAATAGCAGAGGGACCACTGTACATTAGTGATGCATCAGGCATATGATGCTAGACTGTGTCTGAGGCAAACCTAGCTAACTTCCTTCCTTCCTGTTCCCAGGCTGTAAACTACACCAGAAAATTCTGGGTGTTGTCAACCTCCAGACTTTAGTCTTGTCCCCGAACGTGAGTGATGCAAGCACATCCAATTCACAGATCTGGATTATTTCAAAGGAAACAATCCCATAATTCCCCAGTGGTCCCAAGGTAGCAGAGGGCCCTTTCTACACCATCGGACATATGATGCTAGCCTCATATTGTTTTGTACACAAGTAAAAGGTCTGTGAATTCGCAATCAAATATCACTATTAGTTGAATGTAAACAACTTCAAGCCATTTTTCGTTAATCCGCTGGGCTTACTGACTTGTGTTTTGAGGTTAACAAATTTTTTAAAGATATAAAGTAGAGAGAGTGACAGAAAGAGCCAGAGGGAGGATGTGATAGAGGAGAAGGACAAGCAGTGAAAGGCAGAAAAGACAGGCATAGACTCAGAGAGAGACAAGACAGACTGAGACAGAGAGAGGGACTGGCAGAGACAAGACAGACAGAGCAACAAGACAGGCAGAGACAGACAGACCGAGAGACAGATAGACAGAGAAAGAGACAAGACAAGCAGACAAAGACAGACATAGACACAGAGAGAGAGAGACAAGACAGACTGAGACAGAAAAAGAGAGACAAGACTGGCAGACAGACAAGACAGGCAGAGATAGAAAGACCCAGAAACAAACAGACAGACACAGGCAGATAGAGATGGAAAAAAAGACAAGACAAGCAGGCAAAGATAGAGAAAGTCATACAGAAACAGACACGCAAAGAGAGAGAGAGGTGGAGAAAGAAAGAGATAAAGACAGACACAGGCACAGATATATATATATATAGAGAGGGGGGTTTTGGGGGGGGGGGGGGGGGGCAGACAGAGAAAGAAATGAATACACACTCAGACAAATGCAGACATACACGGGCAGACAAGAGAGAGAGAGAGAGGGGGGGGGAAGAGAGGGGATGGGGGCAGACAGAAAGAGAAAGAGATGGAGACAGACACTCAAGACACAGGCAGACAAACACACACACAGAGGAAGAAACAGAGAGACAATTTAAAAAAAAAATGGGTAAGTAAGGTGAGAGAAGAGAAAAGCTGAAACAGACATCAGCAGACTCAGCCTCTTTACTTACACTACATTTACAAAATCTAACATCTCAACAATGTATACAAATTCAATTTATTCTATGGCATTATATTCGCAAATCCTTTGTTAAATATAAGGTCGTCACTCCCACACAATGTCATGAAACTAGCAAATCTCTAGACAAATATACAGTCATCACTCCCACACAATCGCATTATATTAGCAAATATGTAATTAAATACACAAAGTCATTACTCCCACGCACTATAAATCCATTTTAGCAGGGTTTTGTAAAGCACTAGGCATTGAAGGACAAACAATTTTAAAACTTTCAATCAATTTTTTTAAAGCAACTTTGTTTAAACAATGAGGAATAACCTGCCCCACATTTCTCCCACTGGTAGCACCTGCACCATGTGTTAGTTTCAAGCATTTCAGCTGGATGACGCATGTGAAGTTATATGACAAAACGAGTAGAAAGACACATGTGAACCTGAAACTGCAGAAGTCCATGTGACAGATGAATTTACTGTAAATCTCAAACTAGTCTTAACTCTTTCAGTCCCAAAGAACATATCACATATTAATAGGTTCCTACCTAGATGCACCAATTTTACATTTCTCTTTACCACCCCACCCCTTGAGCCTCTGATGCTTAAAAAACAACACCCTTTGACTAAAAGAGTTAACTACATTCTCATTCATAACAGAGCCCTACTCACCGTATGACTTTTGTCAAATTTGGAATGCTCTGTGACTGTGACTGCAGGAACATTCTAACCACCTTCTCCATGTCCTGCATGACCTCTTCATCTGTCAGTGTCTCCAAGAACAAAGCTTCGGTACCTGACAACCATCCTGCATTAAAAGCAATTGATAAAAGTAACTGATTAATCAAAACAGAAATGTGATCAACTAATTGTGCTGCATTGATCTAAATCAGGTGAGGGCTATTCAACTGGAGGTCTGCGGCCCAAAATCTGGCCGCCGAGGATTAGCAAGTGACCCACGGATAACCACCAGTTGTATTGATGATTTTTCTATGCTGGTGCTCGGGCTCTGGATCTAGGCAATCCCCATTTTAGAAATGTTTACCCCGGAGTAATCTTACATGGAATAGCACTGATCTACATGCTCAAATAAACATGACTCCTCTTGGTGTACAGCTGTGTGAATCCTTAACCAGTGCTACAGCTTGTGCACTTTGGTGCAGATTTGTGTAAACCAATGAGAGAAGACATTTACATTTAAAGTAATTTACAAATTGCTACTAATTTTATAAAACATTTCCTCCTGTGTGTGTGTGTGTGTGTGTGTGTGTGTGTGGGGGGGGGGGGGGGGTAAAACCTTTGTACTGTAAAAAATTCTGAAAAGGGAATTAATAGGGGTTTGATAAAATCAGATGTGCTGGACAGAAAGGCATAGATATCACAGCCTAGCTGTAAACCACAAGACAATGTTTCAACAGCACTTTTAAGAGCGAATGGGGAGGGGGAACTAGTAGAACCTTTTTTTAATTTCCTTAATGGGAAATACTGTACACAGAGATCTTAGACTTATTTTTACATTAACAAATTGATCATAACAAGTGTACACACTACACAACGAAGTGTTCAGTTATCGATCAATGTCACTGACCCCTGCCAGGTTTCAAACACTAAAACTGAAACAGCTGGCACATTTCTATGGGGTGTCAAGCTCACTGCGTAGGAGTTGAACCCAATGTTATGTTGTATGTGTGGGCGCTCAGAATCAGTGTTTAGTGCCCCGTGGCCCTGTGTGGGCTGCTTGCGGGCTAAAACAGAAAAGACTCACCGCCCTCTAAATCAACACACTGTGTGGCTACCTAGGACAGGACAAGTCTTTTCTTTGCTCCTCTAAAAAAACATGGAATTGGAGCTCACCGATTTATACAGGTGCAGAAGTTTAGAAGTATCTCTAAGAAATCATGTTTCTTTATGTCTAAATATGTCGGACCCGCAGTGCATCTGCACCAAAGACTGGGAACCAAGTCCACATAAAAATTTAAAAATCAGATAGGTAAAACAGATGTGCACACAAAAGTCAAGTTTGGAACTAGACTTAAGTCCAGAAGAGAATGAACAGCAAGCACTGTCTGCCAGTTTACAGTGTGTGAATGCCAAGAGGAGAAAAACAGTGTTTAGTCTGGGAGTGAAGAAACAGATTAGTTAAGCAATTATCGGACCCGGATTCAGTACCGAGCGAATGAATAAAATGTTATGAGACCCACATCAGATGAATTATTTAGTGTGAGATTATCTATACATATGTCCTGGTGTTGAGAGGCAGAAGTGCCTGTGGGTTCATAGCAAAAGTAAATGAACAATACTTGGTACAACAAAACCTAGCATATGATACATCTACTTTGTGAATAGAGGTGGAGGCAGTTCCTGTAGCTTTTTTCTTTTTGCACATAATTTAACGGACTCATATAGCATGCAAAGGTAAAGATATGCATGTGCAAGTGAAAAGCACCAATAGTTAGTGTTCTCTGGATGTGTTTTTTTTTTGGGGGTATGCAGGTGTCCTGGGGAATGAACAGACAGACGGAGAGACTGACCTACTCTGCACCATTAAGTGGTGAGCCGATGTGGTCAGGGCCCTCAGACAGCAAGTGAACAAATGTGGAGGCATGAATTATTCATTAGTCTGGAGAGAATGGCGCAGTGGCGAGTGACCACAGGATCAGGTCAACAACACTCAGAGAAAAGGGAAGACAGCAGATTTCAGACTGCTACTGATATCATGGAAACTGAAACTTTGCTGGCTGCTCATGATAGGGTCAGAGTGTTTATAGAAATGTTCCGAGTGCTGTGATGTCAGTTTTTAACTCAATTCAACTGTCTGAGTTTGGAGACAGACAGACTCATAGTGTTGAGTAAAGGTAAAACCTGGATTTAGTATTCAGTGAGTGAATTGTATGTTTTCAATGTTAAATGTGTGCCAGAGAAAACTGATAATCAGTGTTAGAATAACAACAACAAAAATGTGTAACTCAAATAATTTTATAAAAAGACAGAATAATTAATGGGGTTCTTCTTCTCACAAATGTGAATCTGACTTGTTCACCCACTCCTTAAAAAAAAACCGTGTTACTGCTGTCAAAAAAATGACATATTCTGTGTTACCATCTAAGTCCTTTATACCTGAGGCATTTTAATTCATACAGTACTTACCAGGAAGTAGCATTAAATACTGGATGAAAATAGACCAAAAGACCTTGACTTTTTACACTAACCAAGGATAGACTAAAGTTATACGAAAAAAGACATTTTAGTAAGATTCTAAAAGTAAGTCAATATATTCATATAGATAAATTCATATATTTTTGCCATTATTTCTTACTGCTGCTGCAGAAAGGACACTTTCTCAGAAGATTATTTTTAAATGATGGGAAATGATGTAGCTCAATATAAACATCTCTGCCAGTCTTTCAAGAGAGAGCAGCAAAAACAGTCCAGTAACTGAAAGAAATTGGACATCCAAACAACCTACTGCAAGTGCAGCTGCTGATAAAATCAACCCAATGAAATCATATGGAATTGATCCCACACAATGGCATGTATACATATTTGTTGTCACCACTAGCATGTCAGCTAGAATCAAAGTTATCTTGTAACTGCTGATGACTTGCAAATGGAATAATGATACTAAATCAATCAAACTATCACAACACAACCACCTGATATATGGCCGGTGGTGTATCTTATGTTCTTATGAAATTACTTAAGGCATTTTTAGCCTGGCTTTAATGGCATCTGCTATCATTACTTTTGCAGATGAGGAAAGTAAAGGTCTCTTTTTATCGCCTTTAGGGGTATTAGGAATATAGGGCTAGATCTATAACCAATTGGCACTTGGTGGGTGATGTGGTCCCAGGACTGCGCCTGGTACCCACCCAAGGCTGAGTCGACCTGGGAGTTAGGGATGAGGAAAGTGAAGCTAAAAAAAGTAGAAAACAAGGCTCACGTTGTTTTTGTTTTTAATATATGGTAAGCATCATGCATTAAGGCTTCAATCAACTCTTCCAGATACAGAATGGAATAGCATAGCAAGACACTGGAGAATAGCCAAGGATGTAAAGGGTAAAGAACAAGTGCCAAACTTTGCTTTTAAACTGATTCAGAGACACTTCAGATATGTCAGACACATTTTAAGCATGTTACAGCATAATAATAATTTTAAAAAAAAAGCCTTTGCACATATAAGTGAAATACTCTTTTCCATACCTTGATGTGCACTGGGCATACAGGGCTAGACCTATATTTGATAAACCAATCAGTACCCAGTGGGTTATGTGGTATACATCATGCCAGCTGCCTTTACTTCCCAGGACTGTACCTGGTATCCATTTGAGGCTGGCTCGACCTGGCAGCCAAAATCATTTTGGGAAATAAGTCCAAAACCAATGATCCATGGGCAAGCATCTAGCCACTACATCACGGCCCCTCCACTTTGCGCATATACTGCACAATATTGTAGTTGAGGCTTCTGACCCTATAGAAACACAGCAAAAGCAGCATGGGGGCCAAACAGTGTATAGCTGCCAGGACGTGAAGTGTTAAGCTCTTTCTACATTCTGAGCCATGGCACAAATAAGTGGGGTGCTAGCTCACTTTTGCGTCACCTTTTTGTTCAGAGCCTTCCTGAGAAAATGCCATGGAACCACTTTTGGAAATTGAAACCAGACCCCAGTCTTGGTAAGCAAGCAAACACTAATGACATTGCGACTGTGGGCTACAGGTTAAAGGAGATGAATCAATAGTTTGTTACAGCTGATCAACATCTTATACTCTAAATTCATGCAACATCTATCCAACTTATTCTCTACATTCCTGCAATATTTATCCAACATATACTCTACATTCCTGCAATATCTATCCAAATCTATACAACACACTGTGTCACTTTTACCTTACAATATGCACTTCCCTAATTGTGTGCTGACTATCTGTTATTCCTCCTCTTCTTTGTGTTAACTGGCACTTAATTCTGGTGGAAAGTTCTGGTTGTTCATCCACTTCTAGCCTTGTTCCAGAACTTTTGTGTTGCATGCACATCCATTTTACAGATCTGGCTTATCTGTATATGCAGACTGCTGGTTCCTTGCCACACAGGCAGATGCAATCTGAATTCGAAGGAAGCCCCCAGTTAGCTGACTCTTTACAACATGCTTGTTGGGGAGGCAGTGGGTCTATTTTCATTTCCCCATAATGGTAACTGGGAACCCACACAGGGATATTAGGTATTTATACCTTTCCCATCCAGGACTGCAACCCAAAAGATGAACACCTTGTGATTCAAGGAGCCGCTGCTTGAATGGAACTATGCAGGTAAAAAAAAAAACAACAACACAGAAACAGTTATTGTGGGGCATCTATAGTTAAAAAGTAACTGGGGTCAGTGTGTTCTATAATCAACACACTGTGTGGCTATTCAGGACAAGTCCTGTCTAGATTCTGATTTCTCTTTTCTCCTCTAACAAAACATGGATGTGGAGCTCACTAATTTATACAGATGCAGAAGTTTAAAGGTTACTGTAAGAAAACATGTTTCTTTATGTCTAAAGAAAGTTGCAAGTTGATTCAACAAAAACCCAAGCATGCCAATATCTGATGTTACCCCACTTCAAATTACTTTTTTTCTGAACAATATTAGGGGCTATAATATATTATTATTAACCAGTGCTTGCGCAAAAAAGAGAGAATTAAACTATAAGACAGAATCACTAATGTGGAGATTTAGGAGATAACAAAGTAAACTCCATAGAAATAAAGGGGTGAAGAAGCGACGCTGGCATCAGATAGGACAAACACTGAAAAATATGAGAGCAGTACAATTAGAAGGGCTTTACACTGGAATCTACAGTGGCATATAAATACAGGCATATCAAAAAACACATTGAGAAGGAAACAGGAAAGTAAAGGTAGAAATCATTGGGAGGATATGGGCTGTGATGCATGCGACAGGAAGGGACAGGACAACATGACCTAAGTTGGTTGAGTGCCTATGCTTCATTGTCATAAAAGGCAGAAGATGAGTAATATGATATAAATGCCTGTACAGCCAGGTCTCTTTATAGCCAGCTTTACTGAAAACATGATGCAATAATGTGTGAAGTAGACAGTTTAACTTACCAACAAGCACATTGTCATGGATGACTTCCAGGGCATACATCTTCCTGAACCATCTTTCCCTCAAATTCTCTGTATTATTCACAGAAGGATCCCATGCTAAATGAATACGATTAACATGCTGCTCCACTAAAGGCCCATCAAACACAAGAATGACCTTATTAACAACGCCAAACCCCAGATTGTTTATAGCTTCAATTTTTTTCTGTGGAAGAGCTGGGTTGAACATCCTATCACAATTTGCTTTAAGAACACCTAGGGATACGGTTACTATTACATGATCTGCATAGTAAATGTCACCATTTTCGCACTCTACACAAACCATGTCTTCGGAGCACTGAGTCCCACCTGGCATGGTGGCCACATCCCCCCAGTGAATTTTCCGAACCGCTGTGTTCAGTTTTATCTTCTCTTCCGTTATTCCCTCCCTGACAATGTCCAAAATAGCACTGAAGCCACGGGGAATCACCAGGTGGCGGCCAGGAAGTTCTTTGTACGATCCAAACTGAGAAAGTGACACATCATACAAACTGTCACAACCACTTATACAACACTCCAGCAGACGGCGCTGATGGTAGACCAGCTCCAGCATGTGCCGCTCTTCTCCGGCCGTATTTTCTAACTTTTCATCTATTAAACGGTCCAATTCACTCCCAAGACTATCATTGACATCGACTTGGTTGGGTGACAGAAAATACTCCTCACAGGATGATAACATTGTCCCGTAAGCAAAGTCAACCTTCTTGACTGTACCCTCGTGAATAGGCTCACCACTCTCGGTCAAGTATATATTTTTACTGTTGAGATGAACCTCCCTTTCTGTTAACAGGTTGTTCTCATCAGCCAGTTTGTAAATTGGGTTGTGCTTTATGCCATGTATCCAGTTAGCTCCCATTTCTGCTTTGTGGCCATTGTTATCTGAAAATAAAGACACAAAGACATTATAAACAGATGACACAATAAGATTATACAAGATAAAAGTACATGGATAGTAGGCAACCCCGATAATAATTGAGGGTTAACCCTCAGCAGTAGCCACAGTATTTTATTATCACCTCCTACTTACAAAAACTATGAAACACCTGGTTCTCCCAATAGAAACAAAAAGACAAATTACAAATGCAATCTTCATACCAACCTTTTGTTATTCATTTCAGACTTGGACATTGAATAAAGAAAATAAAACTTACCATTTGCAAAATGAGATGGATGAATAAAGCCGTGAACAAACTAGAAGCGATCATGTGGGAAATTAAGAAATTACGACACCTATTGGAATATCTATAATTAAATTCAATGAAAAACATAGACCAAAATGGTTGGGCCATTTTATGAGACTGAATTCAAATATGACAGCAATGACAGTAGCAACACCAAGAAAAAAGAGATGACCAAGAAGAAGATCGACTGTAAGAGTCATTGATATCACGACTCTCCACAATATCACAGCACATGAAACACATGAGCAAGCCCTAGCTCTGATATGATCATCTGTCAACCTATATCAGCTAGCGGCAAACAGCAGAACATGGACCAAAGAGAAGATCAACAAAAACACAACAGGGCTAAGCTTACTGAGTAAGAAGATAAGATAAAATCAAAAATAAAGAAATTAGAATACTAGAGCTAAAACCAAACCAGACATACACAATTCATTAAAGAGCAACAGATGGTTTGACCATCTGAGGAGAATGCCCTGGTACCAACTGCCAGAGTGGGCAACGCTGAATAAATGAACACAGAGAAAGATGAAGACCACAAGAAATATGGAATGACGGCATAAAGAAATAAAGATAAACTTATACAACACATCCGAAAGAGCCCACAGAAGATTATTACACCTGCCCCTACGCTTTAATGAGGAAATTAGAGGAAGGCAAGAAGAATGAGAATTGATAAAACTCCCTTGCTTTACTCAGGAACAGAACAAATGCCATATGACGTATGAGGTGGGCATCCCATCTTCAGCTGCATGCTTGTGGCTATGCACTACATATTTTAGGTTAGTTGAGTGTATCCTTTACAGGATGTTGCAGAACCAACCCCAGCAGCCCCTGGCTGTTGTGTGGTTTTTCTAGGCAAACTTACGTCCAGTAGTTTGCCATTGCTTTCTGGACGGTCAGCCCCCTGATACCACTGTCGAAACCAACGCAAGGCGCAGGGCCCACAGCTGGGATCGAACTCGGCACCCAGGCATTAGGAAGCGTTAGCATCGACTTAGCCACAGAGCCGACATGCACTACATATAGCAATACAAAATTAAAAACTGACATTTTATTAGTTAAAAAGTAGATCACAGCCTAAATACGAGGTCAAGTTGTAAGTAAAGCTAAAAAAAATATATTGACCTTCTTGGCTACTTAAAAACAGGATTTGTGTGGAATCAATTTCATAAGCATATTATCCTAAAATGCAATATCATAATGGTATGGGCTTGGCTGTTTCCATTTTAATGTTAAGAAACATATTTATGTAAGCCTGATGTCATAGAGTCTGTATTTCTGAGGTCAGAGTAGAATCTGTCAATCTTCTGATTCATCTACACATACGATGGTCAGTTTTTAGAGAAAAATAATCAAACAACCCTGCAAACTGTAATTTGTGTATGGTCTCACAAAGGATACCTGATAATAGTAAAACTAGATGAGTCCCTTCACCAGAACCCACAAGCCAAAAGAAACAGAGGAATACTTAAAACATAGAAAGCAGAGAACCAGAAACAGGTAAAAAATATAGAAACGAAAGAGAGGGGGTTGCAAGAGACAGCACAGGATAGGAAGGGAAGGCATTAGCTGGTTTAGTGTTTGTGCTAGATCATCGTCGTCATACAGCATGTCCTTTACAGGAGGTTGTTTCCATCATACCAGCTCTCCAGCTTCGTGCTCATTTCTGCCCGAGGTGTCTACTGCCCTGTGTCCATCTTCGTGCTGGTCGACATCTGGCTCTCTTGCTCAATATCATGCCTGCTACTGTTCTTTCTAATCCACTATAGCATTTGATATGCTTAATACTCCAGTGAAGAATACAAAGCAGAAGAATAAGACAAAGAAAAAGTGTGTAGTCTAAGTTTTCATTTAAAAAAAATTATATAAAGAGAAATCATTTTAAAATCTTCAAAAATTTATGTTTTTACTGCAAAGAGAGGTGGAGGTACCAAAAGAGTGTAAAATATACATTAAATGAGGTCATAAATACATGAAATGTGGTGATCAGCAATAAAATACAAGGACTGAGGAAGAGAAGATGTTGAAAATAAACCCTAAAATGAATGTTGATGAGAGAAGCCAAGGATGTGGGACTGAATTCCATCCGTGATACTAAAAAAGCCCAAGACAGAAGTGAAGGGAGGAACAATCTGTGAATCCTATGTAACATATAATGGCACAACAGGACAATGATAATGATCATCAGCAACAACAGGTCAATGATCATCAGCAACAGTAACTCCAGCCAGTTGATGCAACAATCCACAGCCGACAAATCTGTCTGTCCTTGCCCGTCAGCATCTACTGTGGTGTCATACAACTGCTAAACAAATTTTGTCAACATACCAATGGTGACCAGTTTAAAATCAGCTGGGCTGCAGACAATTGTTGTGCTATCTAGAGCAATCCCAAGAAAAAACCCAAAATGGGTAACACCAAAAATACATAAGAGAAGATAGGTAATATTTCAACATGACACGAACAAGCCTAGCAATTCTGAAGTACAAGCAATAAATAAAACTGTGAAAACAAGGCTAAAGAATGCACTGCAGGAGAGTTGTGACTGCCTAAAATGATGGTGAAGATTCTTAAAAACTGGATGAATCGACCCTCAGCTGGATGAATCACAAAATTTTGCAAACACAAACTCACATTTGATTATATAAGTTCTGAGCTCTTCCCATTAATTACTCCATTTCTGTTTTTCAAATTGTAAATCTAATTCTAATACAAGTACTTTATTCCCCTCCTCTTGTTTTTACATTTAAACGGGCAGTTAGCATGTTGTCTTCTTCTTCTTCGCGTTCACCAGCTGTAAACTCTGGCGGAAAGTTCTGGTTGCTCGTCCACAACTGAACTGCAGTCCTGCTCCAGAAGCTGAGTGTTGCGTGGGCATCAGTTTTACAGATCTCAAACTCTTGAATACAGACAGTTGGTTCCTTGCCTCTCAGGCAGATGCACTCCGACTTCAAAGGAAGCTCCCCAATTGGTCGACTCTTATGACATGCTTTTGGGGAGACAGTGGGTCTATTCTTGTTTTCCCCACAATGGGGCCCCGGAACGTTGTGATGGGGTTTACAGCTAGGCTGTGATATCTACACCTTTCGGTGCAACACATCGGATTTCAGCAAAACCCTAATCAGTTAACTTTCACGACATGTCTTTATTAAAGAGTAGGTGATCTATCAACTCTGAGATAATAGAAGTATTTAGTTTCCCTTATATGTCCAAGTATTTATATTATTGCATGTTATTTATAATTAGTAACATTAATTAATTGTATCAGTAAATATAATATCTGCCACATTTACATTTCTATTGCACGGACAACAACAAAACTGATGATAAGAGTCAGAAGATTTGAACTCTTGCCAAAATGAAGAAACTACAGGAGACCTGCAATCTTCAATTCTGGAAAATCAAACTACCTGAGACTCAAAACAGTTTGTGTGGGAGTGTGAGTGCCTGGATTGACTGCGTGGGTGTCAGTGGGCTACTGTTCAGTCAGCAAAATAGTTACAGATATTGTGGCAGGTATCTTTATTTCATTCACATACACACACAGGAGCACTGGTTTTTTAATTAGAAAAATTAAACAATAACAACCCAGATAGGTCTGCAATAGCAACAAGTATTTTAACTCTTCAGGTTAAATTTTTTTTTTTATCGCCAATGAACATTGTTAACAAATAGGAAGTGGAAGAAGCATTCAGTGTGATTTTTCAAAGACAGTGTGTTATATTTTGTGCATAAAAATTACTCTAAAAAGCACACCTATTAGTTTATTTACGTATGATTGCTGAACAGAATAAGAAATACTAAAAGGTGGTAGAAAGTGATAAAATGGGTCTCAGTTTGAATAATGGAAAGAAAGAAATAATGGTAATACTAAAGAAAAAGACAGTGCCTAAATGTAAAATTAAAGTCAAACCTTATTTTAGGACAAGTACATATTTTAAGTATCTAGGTACATGGATAGCATCCAAAGAAAGATGAACACAACAGGACTGCATTTTATAAAAGGAAAAACATTTTAGGCAATAAAGTCAACTCATTGGAGGTTAGGGGAAGGAGTTTTGCATGCTATACAGAGCCGTTTTCAACATATGGCTGTAAATCCTGACAATTAACAAACAAGTGAAGCAATTTCCTGAGGCCTCACAGATGTGGTTTTACAGAAGAACCCTTAGAATTCCTTGGACAGCCAAAAAAGAGCAACCCAGATATTTTGAAAGAGGTGAAGGCTCAAAGACAACTGATCACAAACATCAGAAAGAAAGGGACCCATTTTTTGTGGGTCACCTTATAAGAAGAAGAAAAATAGAACATGTGACCACTGGAAAGATCTGTGGAGAAAGAAACAGATGAAAAACAGTTGACAGCCTTTTGTTGTGGCATGAAGAGTGTCAACACATGAACTGATAATAGACACTGTTGAAGATCAAGATCGCAGATTGTGGACATATGATTAGCTATGACAGTCAACAATGCATCTTATGGTTATACACAGCATACACAAATAAAGACAAACCAGGTTAACATAAACTTGTTTAAAAAATAACAAAATGTTGGTCCCAGCAGGGATCTATCAATCTTGAGTCTCAGGTTAGCACACATTTTTTAACACAAAGTCTATTTTTCTAGACCCTAAAATTTGTGTTAATGAGATATTATATATGTGTGTATGTATGTATATATAAACCTACAATTTTTTACAGACCACATAAGTCACCACATGTTATAACTGGCTTGACATTCAGTTACATTCACCCCCCAAAAAATCAATACTGTTAAATGAAATAGTCAAGACTGGGTATGCAAAAATAGGCCAGGAAAATACTGGGTCACATTGTCTCAAGTCAATCTTTCTAAGATTTGTAGATTCGGGAACATTATTTGGGACTTGGCCAAGTGGTGTTCTTGCATAGGAAGAAAAAAAACTGCTCTTCTGGGACATTTCACCTGTCATTATACAGGACTCATAGAATGAGGGACATGAGTGCTTCTTTATCAGGTAGCTGCAGCCACTGTATATTATCATCATCAAAAACCACTTCTGCCATTGAGCATTGTAGGGAGGAATAATTTGCGATCCAATGCATGCTGGCTGGCTGCCACTGGCTATTGTCATGCCGTGAAGGTGTAGTGTCTTTAATGTTGTTGATCCATTTTTTTCTGCGGCCGTCCTCTTGCTCTTGTAACTGATTACTGACTGCATTTACCATGTATAGGGTAATGCAGTCACCGCAAACTGCAGTTTAGGATTATTCTTTGCTCGCAACAAAAAATGGTAATTCCCTGCATAAGAATGAACCTGGGTCTCACACATTAGAGCCCAGTGCTAAACTCCTACTTCTCCCTTATATAATATAAGGTACTTGCTGTGTTTTATCACGGACAGATTAACCCTTTTTATCTTGAATTATATTATAAGTTTCACTACTCCTGTACCATAGTCTCTTTTTAACTCCTTTGGACCTTAGCATTTATTTCTTCTAAGCTCAACTTCTGGTATTTTGGAAGTTTTTGATTTAAATAATGTGGTTTTACAGAAAAAAAAATCTGAATAAATGGAAACAGATGTACGTAAGATTTTGTTTACTGGCGAGTTTACGAAACTGTTCTCGATATTATGATAATATTTGGGACATTTATTTCCCGTACTCGGCCATACATTCATACTAGAACGCTTGCACCGGACACTGCCCTTATCCGACCTTCACCCGTCCCATAATGTGGGAAAACTGATCCCGTCTCACATACTTCCTCCACTCTTTCACCTAAAACTTGTTCTCTGCCTCCTTTCAAGCCTATTTTACTGAACTGGCACAGTAACTTGAACCCGTCAGTATTATTTACAAAGTCTGCGAACCGCCAAAGTTCGCCAGCACGTATCCTTCGCATGATACGAACACTGCTGTTTAATGAAACACTAACCGCGCCGACTACAGTAACTTACTAAACTATCGACGGGTTAACAACCGATAACTTACCCACTGGCACACTCCAAATCCGGCCACCAATTCGATCAGAAGCCTCAAGAACAACATAATCTGTAAATCCTTCAAGTTCCAAATACTTTCCTGCTGCCAAACCGGCGATTCCTCCACCTATTATAACAATTTTAGGCTGTCGTTTCCTAGATTTATCTCGATTCCCGTCTTCCATTATGGAACAGCTGACGCGTTCGCGACTCATCGAAGCAAGAAACAAACTACACCACTGTTTCGAAAAGAAACAACAATTGTTTCCTCTGGTACACAACCTGTGGATAACTCCGTGTTATAGTGTCAGGGCTAACATGGTAAAGGACTGACAAACTCCGGGAGGAAAGGTAAAACTTGTGACTTGTTGTAGAGACCTTCTTCTTGCCGACTACCCAAGCAGACGCCGATCCCTTGCCTACATTCAGACGTCCGTTGCTGACGTCACAGACTGGGCCGATCCATTCTCTGGGCGCGAGGGGTTGCTAGATTTGGAGCTCTCACTCTCTCTCACCTTCATGCCTGTTGGCCTGGAAGAACATAAATACCTACTACTACTAGGCTTGGGACGTTTGAGCTAAAGCTGGGGGTGCCTGGGAGAGGTAAATTTTGACGCCCTAGAAACTTTTGTTTGCACCCGATTAAACGTTTTAGTTGCGACTAGGGAGGGTGGACTTTGTGCCACTTGAATGGGGTTCATTTTATTAGGTTAACTCTTCAGCTGCGTGACTGAAAATGCGGATATTGGAGTGATTGGACGCCTTTTTTTAACGCCCTAGAAAAGTTTATCTGCCCCCGACATAACATGTTTTAGCAGTAATTATAGCATGGACTCTGCTACCTGAGTAGTTCATTTTAGTTAGTTAACATTTCGGTTTCGGAAATGAAATCATGTATTTATATTGTATATAAATATTTGTAGGGATTGTAAAACACACATCACATAGTGGGATTAATGAGACCGATGTTAACCTGTACGAGTTAGGAACCGACATTACAGCGCTCCGCCCTCATCTTCAACAACCAGCGCAGATTCTTTTGAGTATAAAAGTATGTCAAAGCAGAAATCAGCATGTGAAACTCACATTACAAATAGCTGTAGACACTTGTACACATTTCAGTGGAATTCCGTAAATATCAAGACTGGCTGAACACGCAAATAATGTAGATAATAGAAAGACTGACTAAAAGAAACACACAAACACACATGTACACACATACACACATAAGTTCACCCAACAAGCGAACAAGGATGATATAGATATGTAGACAATATGGAAGGGCAACACAACAAAATACTTTACTTTAGAAACAAAGCAGAAGGATCATATTTCGCCAACATGTCAGCATCAACATAAACAAATATGCCTCTTCTTCTTCTTCATTCTTCTTCATTCTTCTTCTTCATTCTTCTTCTTCTTCTTCCTTCCTTCCTTCCTTCCTTCCTTCCTTCCTTCCTTCCTTCCTTCCTTCCTTCCTTCCTTCCTTCCTTCCTTCCTTCCTTCCTTCCTTCCTTCCTTCCTTCCTTCCTTCCTTCCTTCCTTCCTTCCTTCCTTCCTTCCTTCCTTCCTTCCTTCCTTCCTTCCTTCCTTCCTTCCTTCCTTCCTTCCTACCTTCCTTCTTTCCTTTCTCTTCTTTGTCTTCTTCTTCTTCTTTTCTTTTTCTGCTGCTGCTGCTACTACTACTACAACTTCTGCTCTTGCTTCGCAAGGGCAGTTGGAACTTTGTATTGTGGCTTACTACTAAGCTGCGATATCTACGCCTTTCAACCTAACACATCCGATTTCAGCAAATCCTATTAGTCGCCTTTTAGGGCGTGTTTATTAAAAGGAAGTATGTCAGTCCACCCTTTTCCCTCGCCCCCAAAATGAGGCCCCTGACCGAGGAGGTGCCTCTAATGAAGATCAGCTGTGCTACGTCGTCATATCCTCTGTTATGTCCCTCCCTGTAAGGTGATTCATCCATGTCACTAACTACCTTCCACCCAAGCTTTCACCCGAAAGCGTTGGGTCTGGACATGTTGACAATGGACTACGTAAAACATACGGATACGAACCTAGACCTACATCGGGTGAATCCTGGTGCCGTGTGCTGAGTCATCACCTGATTGCATTTTAATGTCTTTCTGCCGAAAGCTTAACCAGCTTTGGTCTAGTGCCTTGTTGCTCAGCTTGTTTATACCCACGGCCCATCAAAATGGGGAGGGGAGGAGGAGGGAGGAATTATTGCACGCCCCACTTGACAACTAACCAAACACAGGAAGAAGGAACACAACTGTAGATGGCAGTTTCTTTGGTAAATTCAATGCTCAAAATTACAATTTTCAGCAAATGTGACATCTGCTGCTGCTTCTGCTGCTGCTACTTAGACTTTAAAACATCTGATAGACGTGGTCGTTACGTTAAATCTGATAGACAAGGCGTTGCCATAACACCCATTCGATTTCTGGCTTTTTGGTTTTTAATTGCATTTTATGTCTGGACACAAGACTTACATGAGAAAATAACTCGACCAACTTTTCATTTCTATGATAATCAAAGCTTTCAGTTAACGTCTTTTAAATGCTTACTTATTATTAGGGCTGTACCGAATAGTGATTTTCACTATTCGGCCGAATACAGATAGCTGGACCAACTATTTGGCCGAATACGAATACGAATATGAATAATCATCATCAGGTGCTTTGCCGACAGGCATGGGCGATTATGCCTCGCCACAATCTGCGATATCCTGCAGCATGTATTAGTTCGTGTGCTGACACATCTCCATGCCATGCAACAAGACTGTCAACAATCTTCTCTCGTTGTCTTCCTCTATCCCTCCTTCCACATATCTTTCCACTGGTCACCACATGTTCCATTTTCCCTCATCTTATGACATGGCCGAACAATGATGACTGTCTCCTTCTGATGTCTGTGAGTAGTCTTGGGGCTCCTGCCTCTATCAAAACCTCTTGGTTGCTTTCTTTTGGCTGTCCAAGGTATTTTAAGCATTGTTTTGTAAAACCACATCTCTGAGGCCTCAAGAAATTGTTTGGCCTGCCTACCGGTTGTCCAGGACTTACAGCCAAATGTTAAAAACCTGCATGTATGTAGCAAGCAAGAATTCTTTTTCTAACCTTCAATGACAAAGATATATTGCATAAGATGTTCTTCATTTTATAAAATGCAGTTTTTGCCTATCCTATTATGTTTCTTATTTCAGTAATGCATCTTCCATCTGATGTTATCCATGTGCCAAGATACTCAGATTTTTGTATTTGTCCCAAAATAAAACCATTGACTTTTATTACACATTTAGGAATAATAATTTTCTTTGATACCACCATTACTTCTGTCTTCCCACTATTCAAACTGAGGCCCATTCTTTCACTTCCGTGTAGCATAAAATAGATGTAGTACAGAATAGTAAACATTTAAACACATTTCATGTTTTGCATCCTTTAGTCAGTCAGTCTGTGGTAACTAATACATAGGAATGAAAGTATTCTTAGTTTTATAACAAGTAACTAAAGTTGTAAATTGTCACTGACAGCTTATTTAATCCATGAAAGCGGCATTAGCTTTCACATACACACACACACACACACACACAAATCGTTTCATGTTGTCAGCATTAAGGCAGCTTCTTGTCTCACTAAAGGTATTTCCAGCTGTACTAAACAGACGTTCACTTGGTACGCTCGTAGGTGGTGCACAAAGATAACGCTTGACAGTATGAACCAAGGTGGGAAATCTTGATATGTTTATTTTCTACCAGTCCAGAAACGGGTGTAAGGTAACCACTATTCATATTCGGCCCGACTGCAACTATTCGGCCGAATACCGAATAGTTATTAGGTCCACTATTCGGCCCCGAAGTGAATACGAAGCGAATATTCGGTACAGCCCTACTTATTATGTTGAATATCACCTGTACCTGTTTGATTCTCATCTTTGGGGTGCAAATAGTTGCGACTACAATCCTGTAAGAGAAAAGCTACATACCATCAGGGCTGCTGAAGTTGGTACTTTCGTACAAATTTGGTACTATATGAAACTTGCTGAGCAATATACTATACGTTTGGTATCACATACGATGTTTTGGTACTAGTTTTATTTCTGCTTAACAATGTTAAGATTATAAATCACTAATATTAAAGACTTTAACACTAAAAGCATTGACGAGATCAGAATTATTACTTCACGACATTAGTTTCACCAGTTGTAAGCAGCCACAGCAGTCGTGTAACAAATTAAACAAAGCAGATGGTCCAGCAATGATATTGCGGACAATGAATTTAATTTCTGGTCAAGTATAATGTAAGCAAATTATATATGTACTTATTAACAGTTTTTTAATTAAACATTAAAAATTTTGTACCTTTTGATATGTTTTGGTACCTTTAAAAAAAAAATTATTTGGCACTATTCCCAAAAAAATTTCGACAGTACTGCCTACTATACCATATATTAATGTGGGCGCGGCCCAAGGGTTGAAGAACACTGGTCTAGTATACCTCTCTTGTAATCTGATAATCTGGTAATCACTCTAATTTTAGAATGTGATGAGGGGACAGAGAGCTCTTGCTTGTGACAAAAAAATCTTTCGCCAGCTGCATATACCAGGAACGCCGGAACCTTGGGGACTCAGGCCCCCGGAGAATCTCCCCTCCCACCCCCTGGAGCAAGTGAGCTATCTGCCCCTCTTGTTATGTAGATTATTTTTTTTTTTAATGTCTTTTTTTTTTTAAATTTTACATTATCCAAAATATACTTTATTTATTTACCAGTATGTACGCAGCAGCAACGACAGTAATATGTATTATTATTATTGTTATTATTATGCGTTTAAACAAGACTAATGACCGTATGCCTGGTTTCCCGAAAATTTGTAAGGGGCTTAAGGTGATGGACTGAAGGAGTCACCGGCAGCAATATTGCAGCATACCTAGCTAACGAGCCCATCCTGGCTCGGCTAGCCATTGTCTCTTAAACCGTGACGCGTTGTTGCACAAAGTAGATAGTGAGACAATAAAGAGAAGATGTAATGGAACTCCCCACCTTACCTCTAAAGGTGGAGACAGGCATGTTCCGTGCACAGTGGCAAGCATCGCCTCAGAGGCCATGTGTAGTTACGTCCTTCTAGATGTTTCCCCCTGGGGCATGTAGCAGTGTTAGAAAATGACCAGGCAGACAGATTGGCTGGTTCTGCGCCAAGGGGTGGTGAATTTAT